TGAAATGATGAGTTCATAAGAACTATTTGTGGTTCTTTCCCCCTTATCTTTTTGGACCTAATCACACTTGACGGGACCTTGACCATGAAGTCACTCCTGAAGCTCCTGCTCTTCCCTTGCTGTCATCGCCACACAGTCTCGCAGTTGCCCTTCCTTGTCCATTAGAAGTTCCTCTCCCCCGACCCTATCTCTTAACCGTTGATATTCCTGGGGGCTCTTTCCTGCCCCTCTGTTCTGTCCACAGTTGAGGTTGTTCATTGCTTTCTCCAGGCTGATTCTTAGATGTCCATCTCCAGCCCAGGCCTGTTTTTTTTTTTTAGCTCTGGGCACACATATGCAGTTACCTGTTACCCATCTCCACATGGTTGTCTGTCTCATGGTTCCTCCATCTCAACATGCCCAGAAAACTTCTCTTCCTCTTCCCCCTTGCCCCCCTTATCATCATCAAAGCTGCCTTTTTTATAATTTTCCCTACCTTAGCCAAGTGCACCAGTACCAAAAACCATTGGGATCATCCTTGATTCTGTACAGGCCATCACCATCTTTTCAATTCTACTTCCTGAGCATTTCTCAAATATATCTACTTCTCTTCATGTCCAGTGCTGTAACCCTAGACTTTGCCTCCATAAACTCACCCGAACCACTGCATAATATGGTTTGCCAGGCCTTCAGTGCCAAGAGTTTATTACATTACCTGTCAAGTCTTATCCTTCATTGCTTTCTCTCTTGTACTCTATGTTCCAAATATTTTGAAAACCCCCCTCTCTATGAGTCATTCTCACATTTGCCTTTGACTGTTGTGTGAATAATTCCTCCATCTAGAATAACCCTTTCACTCCTCACACCACTCTCTATCTTTCCCACTCTTCTTCTATCACCTTTCATTATTTAGTCCTGGCTTACACATCTCTTCTTCAGGGAGAACTTCCATGTCTTAGGCCAGGCTAGGATTCTATATTTTATATCTCATAATCACATAAACTTCCTCCCCTCATAATACTCATTATACATTATTGGTAACACTTGTCAAAGTATTCCTCTTTCCAACTAGAATACCTTGTCAAGCACATCCTAAGTCTTATTAGTCATATTTGCTTTTTTCTTGGAAACCATCTTCTAGGACTCCCCTGGACCCATTTTCCTGCTCAAACCAGAACTGTTTATTCACTAACCCTTCTACAGAGCTATCAGTCTGCGTTAGCCCAGTACCTTCTTTTTCTGATGGAGTCTCTGTTTGCTGGGTTCTGTATGTTTTCTTCCCTGCTTTGTATCCTTGGTTGGTGAAATTCATCCTGGAGGAACTTTGTGAGCATGGATGCATAGGTTAACTTTTTTGAAAAATTAAATGTGGTTAAAAATATCTTCATTCTGCCTTTGTACTTCATGTGTATTTTAGCTGGGTATAGAATCCTGTACTGAAAATTATTTGCCTTCTAAATGTTAAATACATTTCCCCAGAATCTTTTAGTGTTAAGGGCTGATGCTGAGAATTATGATAGACTTTTAATTTTCAACAAGTGGTAGAGGATGTATGTCTCTCTAGACCTAGAAGTTTTTAGAATAATTTTCATTATCTCTAGATTATGAAATCTTATGGTAATAGGCTTTCCGAGAGGTGAGGACAGAGGGGAGATTAGTTGGAAGGAGGGTAATCAGTGGTATCACACCTATGGTGCATATTGCAAAGGTACAGGTCAAATCTATTAAGTGTAGAGTATAAATGTCTTGACACAATAATTAAGTAAGTGAGGTGAAGGCTATGTTATGCAGTTTGATGTAAGCATTCCAAATTGTATGTAAAATCAGCACATTATACCCCATAAATGCATTTATGAATAATTTTTATGATTTAATAAAAAAATACGCTCTCCTGCCCCTCTCTGCATTCCTTCTCTGCTCTCTCTCTTTCCCTCCTCTTCTCCCTCGCTCTTCTCTATGCTACTCTCTTTCTTCTCTTCCCTACTCTCTCCTTATCTCTCTCCCCTCTTTTCTTCCCTCTTTTCTCTCCTCCTCGGTGCTGCTCAGCAGCCTCCCTCCCCCCCACCAATAAAGACCTTTTGTACAAAAAAAAAATAATATATATATATGCTTTGTTGGAGGGATTTTTTTCATCACTATGCCAAGTGGGTTCTTATAGTCAGAAAATATATGACCTATATACTGCTGGGTTATTTTCTTATATTTCTTTTATATTTCGTTCCTCACCATTTTCTCTGTCTGTTCTTTTTGATTAAATATTAGATTTTCTAGATAATTTGTTAATCTTTTCTTTCCCATCATCCATTTCCATATTTTTTGTTCTTTTCTGAGTGAACTTATTGATTTTTATCTTCCTATCATTTTATTGAATTTATTTCAAACCTGGAGTTTCCTTGGTTCATTTTTCCTTCAGAATGAATTCCTTGCTTCCATTGGTATTGGGAAGTGCTAGTCACTTGAGCAGTGTGGACGCAGAGACATTAGGGTCTATTGTTCCTCAAGCAGAGCTTTGACCATTCACCACCCCCTGTCTTTAGGATGTCTAGTGCCTAAGACTTTCTGAGATTTTGCAGCATGAGTTGGCTTACATTTCTCTGCCATGTCCCACTGTGGACACTTGGTATTTAGCTATCACAATTTTCTAACTCCTAACTAATTTTTCTAACTTCCTCACACACTGTCCATCTTTCAAGATTGACTTCTCTCACACACTATTGTATTCATGGCTATTTTCATTAAGCTGTGATTTTACACTTTTTTTTTTTTATTCTTTCACTGTTATTCCAGTGGCATTTCAGGAGTGGATAGATCCATGTGTTCAAATTTCATGTATAATCAAAACCACTAATTGTTCTAATTACCGTAGCTGAAACAAAAGTCTCAATTTGAGCTCTGCTTGTAAATCTCTCCCTCCTTTCTTCCCTTCCTTTTTTTCTTTTCTTTGTTTTTTTCC